GGAATGTAAACAGTTCAACCTTAAATAAGTCCCTTATGATTTCTCTTTCCTGTTTACCTCTTCATGCTTCTCTTGAGTCTTGTATTTGAAAGTCAAATTTTCTATTCAGCTCTGGTCTTTTAATTAGGAATCCTTGGAAGTCCTCTATTTCACTTAATGTCCATTTTCCCCCTGAAGGATTATACTCAGTTTTGCTGGGTAGGTGATTCTTGGCTGTAATCCTATCTCCTTTGCCCTTCAGAATATCATATTCCAAGCCTTGTGGTCCCTTAATGTAGAAGCTGCTAAATCCTGTGTTATCCTGATTGTGTTTCCACAATACTTGAATTGTTTCTTTCTGGCTGCTTGCAATATTTTCTCCTTCACCTGGGAACTCTGGAATTTGGCTACAATGTTCTTAGGAGTTTTCTTTTGGGGATCTCTTTCAGGAGGTGATCAGTGGATTCTTTCCATTTCTATTTTACTCTCTGGTTCTAGAATCTCAGGGCAGTTTTCCTTGATAATTTCTTGAAAGATAATACCTAAGCTCTTATTTTGATCATGGCTTTCAGATAGTCCAATAATTCCTTAAATTATCTCTCCTGGATTTATTTTCCAGGTTAGTTGTTTTTCCAATGAGATATTTCATATTGTCTTCTATTTTTTCATTCTTTTGGTTTTGTTTTACAATGTCTTGATTTCTCATAAAGTCATAGCTTCCATTTGCTCCATTCTAATTTTTAAGGAATTATTTTCTTCAGTGAACTTTTGGACTTCCTTTTCCATTTGACCAATTCTGCTTTTTAAGACATTGTTCTCCTCATTGGATTTTTGCATCTCTTTTGCCATTTGAGTTAGGCTAATTTTTTTTTAATTTTTAGGCAGTTGGGGTTAACTGACCTGCCCAGGGTCACACAGCTAGTAAGTTTCAAGTGTTTGGTCTGAAGCTGGATTTGAAGTCAGGTCCTCCTGACTCCAGGGCAGGTGCTCTATCCACTGCACCACTTAGCTGCCCCTAAGTTATTTTAAGGTGTTTTCTTCAGTATTTTTTTTTGGGGGGGAAATCTCCTTTAGCAAGCTGTTGACTAGTTTTTCATAATTTTCTTGCATCACTCATTTTTCTTCTCACTTTTTCCTCTGCTTCTCATATTTCTTTCTCAGAATCCTTTGTGAGCTCTTTCATGACCTAGGACCAATTCCTATTTTTCTTAGAGGCTTTGGATGTAGGAGCTTGACTTTGTTGTCTTCTTCTGGTTGTATATTTTGATCTTTTTGTCACCAAAGAAAGATTCTATGGTCTGACTTTTTTGTGCAGTTTGCTCATGATCCCAGCCAATTACTTGAGTTTTAAACTCTTTGTTAAGGTAGGGGTCTGCTTGCAGTGTGGAGAGAGTACTGTCCCAAGCTTCAGGGTTTTGTGCAGCTGTTTTCACAGATACTTCTAGGGACCTGTAAATTTTCAGTTTTTCCAAGGTGGTAGATAAGGGGCAAGGTGTTTACTCCTTTCCTGGCCTGTGCTCTGGTCTATGAGTAACCACAACCATTCTTTTCTGCCCTGGAACTGTGATGAGGATTTTCTCTTTACCGCCACTTCAAGTTCCACCACACCATTGTTCCTCCTTACCCCAGCACCACCACCCAGATCTGTGACCCAGATCCAAGCACAGGCAAAGCAAGAGAATCCTGCCTCAGCATCAACAAAGAGATCCCAGCAATCCTGTTCTGATCAGCCACTTGATTTCCCTTCACTCTGTGGGCTGGAACCTCATGAAACAGCTGCCACCCCGGAGCCATGTGTGGGAACTAGGGCTGAGACCTTGCTTTTCTCTCACGGAGGTCACAGACTTTTCCTACTGACCTTATAAGTTGTCTTTGGCATTTGTGGGTTGAGAAGTCTGGAAATTGCCATACCTGCCCATGTTGTCTTGGGCTGGAAATTTGTTTCACTCTGTGTTTTTGTGGGTTCTGCTGCTTTAGAATTTGTTTAGAGCCACTTTTTACTGGTATTGGAGGGGTTTGGGGGAGAGGTCAAGTAAGTCACTGCTTTTACTCTGCCATCTTGGCTCCACCCTCCCCCCATACTCAGTTTTAATAGGTCATGATTATTACGTCTCCAGTTACATGTGAATAACTGTATCCAAAGATCTGGGTCAAAGTATTAATAGGGGAGAAGAATCAAGGATAATAATAGTAATATAACTCATGTAACATATTTCAGGTTTCCATGGTATTTTTCACAATAAACCAGTAATATAAGTTGTACAAATATTATCACTTAAATATCTAATCCATATTCATGTCCTATCCCTGTACTGGACTATAAACTTCTCAAGGCCAAGACTGTGCAGCTAAACTGCATTTCTTACAATGCTTAGCATAGTGTTCTTCATATAATAGACATAATAAATAGTTATCTGATTGATGTTTATTTTACTTTGTAAAAATATTTTATTTTTCCTAATTACACATAAAGACAATTTTAACATTCAATTAAAAAAAAGATTTCAAATTTTCTCCCTCCCTCATTTAGCTCCCCCCTCCCTGATAGAGTAAGCAATTTGATATAGGTTATACATGTGCAATCATGAATAGTTGTATTGTGAAAGAATTCACATAGTAAAAGAACAAAAACGCACCAAAAAGCAAAGTGAAAAATAGTATGCTTCAATCTGCATTCAGACTCAATTACTTATTCCTCTGAAGGTGGATAGTAGTTTTCATCATGAATCCTTTGGAATTGTCTTGGATCATTGTATTGCTGAGAATAGCTAAGTCATTCACAGTTGATCGTAGTATTATATTACTGTGTGCAATGTTCTCTTGGTTCTGCTCACTTCACTTTGCATCAGTTCATGTTAGTTTTTCCAGATTTTTCTGAAATCTTTCTCATTACTTCTTAGCATAATAGTATTCAATAACGATCATATATCACCACTTGTTCAGCCATTCCCCAAATGATGGACATTCTTTCAATTTTCCAATCCTTTGCTACCACAAAAAGAGCTGCTGTAATTTTTTTTTGGAACAAAAAAGTTTTTTTCCCTATTATTTTTTAACCTCTTTGGGATCAAAGGGTGTTCACTGTTTTATAGCACTTTGGCCATAGTTCCAAATTTCTCTCCAAAATAGTTGGATCAGTTCACATCTCCACCAACAGTTCATTAGTATCCCAATTTTCCCAAATGCCTTCCAACATTCATCGTTTTCCTTTTCTATGATATCAGCCAATCATATAGGTGTGAGATGGTACCTCATATTTGTTTTAATTTGCATTTCTCTAATCAGTACTGATTTAGAACATTTTTATGTCTATAGTTTTTTTTCTTTTTGATATGACTGTATGTGATAGATTAAACTGTCTATTCATATCCTTTGACTATCAATTGGTGAATGACTTGTATTCTTATAAATTTGACTACATATTTGGTAAATGAGGCCTTTAACTGATAAAATTTTACAGAAAATAGAATTGATGTTCAGAAAGGACCCTGAATGTCACATGGCTAGTAAATAGGAGAACTGTGATTTGAACTTATATCTTGTGACTGTATGTCCATCATTCTTTCTTTTTATCCTTTGTGCCTTAAGGAAACAATTTAGTGATTTTGTGTGCATAACTCAGATCTTTTGAAATAATAGAATTAAGCTAATTGATTAGTGCATGACAAAAATCATAGGAATTAATATTTTAAATCCATTCTTCTTAATACCAACCCCAAAGAGATTCTGAGCATAGTGGGGAAGTTTAGGTAGGTTTTTTTAAAAATAGCATTTAATTGAATATATTATTCAATTCCCCTTGTTTGGGGAATGGCTTTCCTTTTACTTGCTTAATGACTTACTTAATCTACAAAAAATGAAAGCTAACATATAAAATCCCTCAAAAGTCACATTATTACATAGTTCTCAGTACTTATTTTAGGGGAATATATTTTCATATGGGACTGTTTAATTAATTTTTAGGGTGAAGTATCTGTTTTCAAAATAAAATGTATCTATCAACTAGGGGAAAAAAATCACAAAAGTATTTTCTGCATCAAATTTAATTTTTCTAAAATATAATCCAATATGAAACTTCCCCCATTCTTTCTGATTCCTGTAGATTATCCTTCACTAGCCCACTGAGAAGTTTTAAATTATGGATTGGAAAATGGAGAATCGGCTGAGGGTGTGCAACCTTGCCTTTGCCGTAAATACTTTAAATCCTGGTTGAGAGGTGTTTGTATAGAACACATTTTGTTTTATGTTATGTGAGTACAAAATAGATTGAAGTAACTGCTCCAGGAAATTACTTTTAATGAAAAAAGATAGCATTAACCTGTAGAAATAGTAGCTCACAATTAGAGTGACTCAAAAAACACCTTCATGGTAGTAATTTCTTTTCAGTTTTTAAATTAAATGCCTTGTATTATAAATGTTAACTGAAAAACAAATCTAATCTGCCCAGCAGGGTGTAAATCAAGAATACCTTCTTTCCCAGAATGGTGGTCTTCTCGTTAATGGAATTGAATTAGGAAACGTGTTAATAGAGATATGGCACCATATGAGAGTGTTTGCTTTCTAGTACTATAGATTGTCAAAATCCCTGATCAGCATTTGTTGGGAAATTGAAAGCTTTGTTGAAATGTATCACTCCCTTTGCTTCCTCAGAAGGATTAAAGTTCAGCCAAAGAAGCTTGCCTATGTTCATTAAGTGAATAAAATCTAGGAAGAGTAAGTAAACACTTGACTGATTAACCACTTTGTCTTGAATTTCTTAAGAGCTCTTGTAAGGCACACAATTTAATTAGTTGTTGAGTGAGCATATAGCTATGTCATGTACAAATAAGGAATGTGGATGAATGTTTGATCAAAGTATGATGAGTCCAAATTCATCAAAGAACAACTTCCCTCATTAGGTACCTGACTATTTTGTTTTTAAGATCTGACTGCTGGAAGACATGATTCTGATATTTAATTGACATGTTGTTGTTGTTTTTAATTCTGAAAATAATTCAAGACTTTTCTTTTTTCCATTACAGGCAGTTATCACAGACCCTGTCCCTGTGAAATTGCACTATGACAAATCACACGACCAGGTATGGGTGCTCAGCTGGGGAAGCCTAAAAAAGACCTCACCAACATTACAGGTTAGTATATTTAGTGATTTTTGTGAAGATCATGATGTTAAGGGGTAAGGAGATGGAAGGGAACGTGTATTTATTAAGTGCCTGCTATGTGCCAGACACTATGCTAAGCACTTTACAAATATTATTTCATTTGATCCATGAAACAATTCTAGGAGTTAGGTGCTAATCATTATGTCCATTTGACTATTTAAGAAAACGAGGCAGACAGAGGTTAAGTGACTTGCCCAGAGTGAGACAGGTAATAAGTGTAGGAGGCTGGATTTAAACTCACATTTTCCTGCCTCCAGGAGCAAAGAAAGATTGACCTTCTGTTCAATGAAAGGTTCCTGGTACCATTTCCCAGTATTTTGGAAGGATGATTCTAATGTAACTATCCTTCTTTATTCACCAAACTCTAAATTGTTTAACCTAAGGCCATTGTTCAAAAAATCTATTGACTGAAGTTGATTGATAGTAGAAAGGATACGGGTAAGTTTATTTCTTTTTTGGGGGGGGTTGTTATTTTTTTTCCATAACATTGCAGATATCTTTATTGGGTTCTTTTTTTCTTGTTCTTTTCTTAAAAATAATTGATATGTAGAAGTAAATGTCCCTAAGAGAATTAGGCCATTATTCAATTAAAGTTTTGCTAGTGTATATTTTTTCACTTAATATTTTGAAATATTTACCATTGTAAGGCAATGGGAAATCTGCTTATTTGCCTTCCATTTATGATATTTATAAGCTAAATGAAAATCTGAACCTTCAGTCCTAGAAGTTGCATTTGTCATGATGCTATTTTTAAAAGAACAACACTTATAAAAAGATAGTATTAAATAATAAATTTAAGATAATTTTAAAATTGCTTGTCTTCTGAATACATTCTACATATATTTCTATTATTTTTTTTCTATGACACTCCTGAGTCATATTAATAAGGCATTGTTTTTCCTTGGATCATATGGTCTCCACAGAGCAGGTTAGGTACAGTAAATGCCTCTGTACCCTGGTGCTGAATGGCATCCAAGAATAGCAGGTAGCTGTCTTTTCCTCTACCTTAATCCCATCACCTTTGGACAATTTCAAACCCCTAACCACAGGCCACCAGGTAAAATGATGGGTGTTCCTATTGAGTAGTTGGACATACTTTCCTCATTCATCTATATCATTTAAAGGAAAGAGTATATTTTATGTGATATTGAACTTGTTTAAAGATCTCTGAGATTACCTCACTTATAAAAAAATAAGATATTTTATGATATAATTTTTAATGAAGATGCAAAAAATAACCAACTCATTACACTTACAGTATTTAAAATCTTGGTATACAGATAATATATGTACATTTGTAATGTGTATGTATTTGCAATCTTAAATTCTCCAGCAGATCTTCTCAATGTGAGTATTTTTGCCAGTGGTGGAGATTATAACCTAACCATGACTCTCATTGGCATCCTCCATAGGTGGTTCACCCTTGGATCTCAGGTTCTTCTTTATCTCACACCATTATATGGAGATCACTGCATAATGTGGGTTGCCCCCCTTTTATGCTTTATTCAGGTCCACCTTTTTTTCTTGTTATACATCTCTTGGATGACATTATCATTCTGCTTTTTGTGTACAATGTTCTCCACCTATTTAAGGCCACTATGTATCTCTTCATTGCCCTTTGGCAATTTTGATTGCTCAGAGACTGTAGTATTCTGTGAGTTATAGTCGTATTGAGTTCCTGAAAGAACATTGATGTTTAAAAAAAAAACAAAAAAAACAAAAAAACAAACATTGGATTTTGTATCATAGAAAGGCTTGAAACTTTTGAAAGCATTGTACAATTCCCCAAATGCTATCCAGCCTTCTCTTTCCCTTCTATACAATTGAATTGAGTTCATTCTTTATCCTAAAGGAGCAAAAATAAGAGCCTTTATAGTCTTTGAATAGGGAGAATGACATGATGAGAGTTGTGCTTTAGGATGATTAATTTTACAGTTGTTTGAAGAATGGAATGTCTTGGGAGAGGGGAGCAAGAGAGAGATATTGAGAAGGAGAACCTAATTTGAAGGCTACTGCTGTAGTTTAGATGTGAAATGACAAACACTTGAATTTGAGGAGTGGTGTTGCAATTGAAACTGAAAGTGAAAACAATAGAAAAAAACTTTAATCCACATGAATCAGTAGCTAAATAAATGTGAGGGCTAAAGGAGAAGGTGAAATTTAAATGAAAATGAGACTCTTAGTTTGCTGAATATTAAATCCTGGACTAATGAGGAATAACTTAACCCATTTAGGTGAACTTCATTTACCTGGAACAACCTTTTTTATTTCCATTAGGGAAAAAAATGTCTCTTTTCATTATCAGTTTATGATATTTGATCTTTCCTCATACTCTTATCATCTCAGGTTTGGTCACTAGGTTTTTACTTTGGTCTAGAAGTGGGGTGACTATATATTTTCCCTGTCCCTATCCTAGTCAACCATCTCTCTGCCACTAGTCCTTGAAAGGCCAACTCAAATCCTCCAACTTCCAATAAATTACCCTGATTCCCCGGCATAGCATTTATCTTCAGTTCAATAAAGGAAAATACTGAATGCCTAATATGAACAATTCAATGTGCTTGGCTCTTTGAACACAAGGATAAGAATGACACATTTCCTACCCTCAAGGAGATTATGTTCCACTGGGGCAGAAGTAGCATATATTCAGGAAAAATTAGGGTATGATAGCTGCAAAGGAGCAATCAAAATCTGAAAAAAGGAGAAAACTCATTTATCTGTGGGGAAAAGATTTGGCTGGAGTGGCTGAGAATGTCTCACAGAGGAATGGACAAATGATATGACCCTTGAAGGAAGAGAAAGATTCTAAAAGATGAAGATGTTGAGAGAATACTTTCCAGCCAAGACAAATGGGGAAAATGCATGAATGTGAGAGATAATATGGATAGTTCAAGGAGCAATGGGAAGATCAGTTTGGGTGGAATATAAATTGTATAAGAGAAGCAATGTAAAATGAGTTTGAAGTGATAAGATGGAGTCAGAGTTTGATTGTAAGAATGGGATACTAGAGTCAGATCAAATGCTGAGTTGAAATATTTATGCTTTGTCAAAAAACAGTAGGGATCCATGGCATATTTTTGAGCAGTTGGCAAGGCTTGGCATCGTGTATCTTGGGAAGCTCTTTTTTTTTTTTTCACCTAGGTGCATGAGAGGAATACAACTGGATGAGATGAGTTCAGGCTCTGTTATATTAATCCATGCTAAAGATAATGAGGGCCTGAGATAGGCTGTTGGCAATGTAATTGGAGAAAAGTGACAGATCTAAGAGGTATTGTGAGGACAAAATCAATAGGACTTAGCAACTATTTAGATGTGATGGAAGCTGGTGTGCTTGGAGAAGTAACCTGTGTGGACATAATACTTAACAAGTAAAAAGAGGATGAAACATTGAAAGTTAGACAGGTAAGTGAACCAGAAGAGAGTGATATTATTAAAACCAAGGGAAAAGAGAGTATCCATGACCGTGAAATGATGAAAAGTGCCAAATGCAGAAATATCAAGAAGAATCAGAAGGTTATTTTTTTTGGGGGGGGGGGAGGAAGATATCATATTTAATGATTAAGGGAACATTACTAAACTTTAATGATCAAAGTTTGAGGATTTTAGCATATGAAAATCAGAAGAGTAAAGTGAAAAGAGACTCAAGTTTGGGGTACAGCAACATAATATAGTGGAAAGAATGGTAGATTTGGAGCCAAATGACCCAAGTTGAAATCTTGGCTTTGCTACTCACTACCTACTCACTGTATGACCTGAATCACTTATCTTCTCTGAAGCTCACTTTCCTCATTTGTAAAATGATGCAAGTTGTACTTGATTGCCTCTAAGATCCCTTTCAGCTCAAAATTTTTAAACCTGTGGTTGATCGGAGAACAGAAAGGAATTGAGGAACTAAAGGTTGTGGAGAGTACAGAGAGGGGTAAATGTGGAAGAGGTCAAAAGATAGGGGGTTGCAAGCATAAAGGGAAATTTCATCTTGAATGGTGGGAAATATCAAGTGGGTCCATCTCTTTGGATACTTTGAGTATAGATGAAGATTATAAGCAATGAGAAGTTTGATTTAAAAGGCTAGGGTGTTTGGAAATATTATCAATCCAAAAAAACGAAAGCAAGTAGGAGGGAAGATTATGGGATACTGAAGAACTTGGGCTAGATATTGAAAATGGCCTACATGGAAGTAGCAAGGATCAGTTAAGAGAGATAAAATTCAATGTTACGAACTTCAAAGGAAGCGAGTTTGCCAAGTGGTGATGTGAGGGTAGATCTCAAAAAGTAGCCAGAGGTAACAAGAAAAATGCCAACTCTTTCTTTTGATTTTATATTTTGGAGGCACATGAATGAGAAGAATACAAAGAGAGATTGTGTTCTAGGATTTGTTGTCACATCTTTTGCGTATGAAGTTACTATGAAAAATTGTATTGAATTGTACATGACTTACAAAGCCTGATAATTTTACCGAGAGTGATGACAGGAAGTAACTCTTTAAAAACCTTGTTGTTGTTGTTTAAAAATCTTTATTCAAAATGTATGCATTTAATTTTTATTTTCTCTCTTTTAATACATGAGCCTGAGTGGTACTTAATCATGCTTCTCATTATTTAGGTAATAACGCAGGCCAGCGGCAGTGTTTCTCATCACACAATTCACACCCAGCCAGTTGGGAAGCAATTTGACAGAGTTGATGACTTTTTCATTCCTTCTACAACTCTCATCATCACCCATATGAGGTAAGTACCATAATGTGGCACCCTGCTTTTTGTTTGGCTCTAAATGAAGAAACCATTTGCAAGCAATGAGTAAAACTGGCAGGGTGTCTATTGGACTTTGTATAAAGAGAACTTTTCTCACAATGCAAGTTGCTATGAGTAGAATGGGCTGACTCAGAAAGTACTAAATTTCTTACTGGAGCATTACAAGCTAAGGCCACAAAATCCATTGATGATATTGCAAAAAATAAATTCTTTGTATGATTTAGGCTAGGTGACCTTTGTGTTCCTTTTCCACTCTCAACTGAAATGCTGAGAAACCACAATTTCATAATTTAAATATATAATGTATACAAACATACACACAACTCACCTAAATATAATACCAGATGACTCAAAAATTGCTCTTATCCAATAAACTGTTTAAGTAAGGCTATTTTTTTTATTAACCCATTGCATTCTTTCCATTGATGTCCTATTCTGATGCCTCACATTCCAGTGAAGGAGACTATTGTGTCATAAAAATTATGCAAATGAAGCATAAGCTCCAACCAAGCTGAAAAAGCTTTGAGAATTCTGCCTTTCAAGCATTACTGGCTCATTTGCCTTCATGTTACATAATATTTTTAATAACCTTTGTATTCTCTCTGAGGTTTTATTCATTTTGCCTTCTGGTTTTACTTTTCTTTTTTCATTTATCCGCCTGTGAATCTTGCTTTTAGTTCAGTTTTCTCTTGATATCTTTTGTGCATTACCCTTTTATCTGCATTAACCCATCAATCACTTTCTGATTCCCTCCTTCTGGGCCCTTGCTAATAAGCCAATCCCTGAAGTTAGGCTAGAAGGCTGCCTTAGCCTCATCCTATTGGGAGATAACAAATTTCCTGATTAAACCTTGAGTAACCCTTTGAGGAGGCAGTACTGACCCCAAATGGATTTCAGGCCCTTTTTTTTTTTCAGGCCCAGTATAGCTGCTTACAATGGCACCCTTCCCAGTGCATTGATCTGCTAATTTAGCCCAGTTTCTCCTTGATTGATGGGTGATAGGTGATAGTGTTCATGCAGTCACTGCAGCAGAAGAGGGTTCCTGTCATAGGCCCAAATACCCCTCAAACTGGTGAGTTTACTTGTGCTTTGGGCATAAGCCATAGAGACTAATGGGGCAGAAGAAGTGAATACTCCAGATATTACAGTTCTCCAGTGTTAATTAATTAAAAACATATATTTTATCTTTTAGGGAGTTCTGGCTTCTTTCCTCTGTGAATTTAGCTATAATTACTCTGCATCTGATATATAATTCTTTTTGGTGGGGAACAATGTTGAAGATTTCAAGAGGTTTAGAGAAAATGATCTACCCTCTCCTTGGTCTACAAAGGGAATCTTTGAACTTGAGCCCACTTAAGTCTTGCTAATTTCAGAGTCTTCATGTCAGATTTTTGACCACTTGTTTTTTTTTTTTAATCTGTTTGTTTTGTTTTATACTGAAGCAATCCTTGAGGACAGTTTACTAAAGCAGAGTTAGCAAACACACTGCTTGTTGACTGGCTGTATGTATCTGCAACATTCTTGAGTAGGGTACCAACTACATTAAAATATAATTGGGGAAATATTTAATAAAATAAATAAAAATTCAACAAATCATATATAATGCATTTTAAAACTAAGTCAAAATACAACTCACAGACCTTTATTTGTAAATTAGTGGCCCCCATTTCTATTTGAATTTGATACAACTGTACTACAGCATCCAAGGTCATAATCTTTGCCAGTAGAGAGATTATATACACCAAGGGTGGGGAAACTACAGCTTTGAGGCCATACGTGGCCTCTTAGGTCCTGGGTGCAAACTTTTGACTAAGTCTAAGTCTAAATTTTGCGGAACAAATCTTTTTATTAAGGGGGTTTGTTCTGTAAAGTTTGAATTCAGTCAAAGGAACATACCCAAGGACCTAGAAGACCACATGTGGCCTTGAGGCTTCAGGATCCCTCCCTGATCTACACCAAATGAAATCACTATGGAAAAGTGAGTTATCATAAGTGTTCTTGATCTTTACTTTGCAAAGGCTTTTCCTGACAGGAATAATGAGATAGAGTTTATGAACTGTTTTATTTAGAGGCAACATGAACGCATCTTGAAATGAAGTATCAAAATATTCCTAGACAGGTAGTGGCAAGTTGGGGAAAATAGCATCTTAGAGGCCCAGGTAGTCATGCCATCGTGATACCATAAGCATTTTTTTTAAAGTAGAAAGCAATCAGAAAAATCATAGAAATGAATGATTAAGGGTGGTGCATTTAAAAATAATTTGCCACTAGTGATAATATGACTAGTCATGATGTCCTAAAAGAGCCAGAACTCATGGTATTTTCATTGAATTTATTCAACATCTATTATGTACTTACTCTATTGAAATATTTGTGACAGACACTAGGATTACCAAAACAGGTTCCATCAAGTTAGAGAGGAACACTATGATTGTTATCCAAGGACTAGGCTTGAAAATGCTCCTCTCCGAGTTGGCCTCAGAATGATGAATTTTTGGTCACAGAAGCTCTCAAAAGTAATATTATAGGAGGATTATGACCTGTATCAATGGAGTAAGTACCTGCAAATTCAACATCACAAATTGCTGCAATATTATGCCATTATCAGAGTTATAGGATCTAGAACTGTAAGGGGTTTCAGCTGTCATCTAGTCCAATAAACACTCTCATCAGAAAAAAAACTGTTACCCAGAGAGAAGTCACCTAGTTACAGAGTCAAGATTTGAAACCAGGTTCTCTGATGCCAAATCTCTCTCTCTCTCTCTCTCTCTCCTCTCTTTCTCTCTCTCTCTTTATATATATATATATATATATATATATATATATATATATATATATATATATATATATATATATATATCACATTGTCTTAACAATCATTTTTAAAGCAGACTATTCAACCTAGAAATTCTTGTGGCAGATCTCTGCTGTCCATGGAGCTAAACTGGGGGGAGTGAGACAGCAAAATCCTTTTTAAAGACCCTTCTATATGGTGTTGTATCAAAATGACTTACAATGGCAAAAATGTAGAATTGGGCCATAGATTTTGATTTCTGTGTGGCTAACTTCTGTATTAAAATATATGTCTAGTGAACTGATCTAGCACAGCATTTTTTCTAAACTGAAGCCAAAATATCAGTTTATGTAAAATGAAAAAAAAAATTCCACCTCTTATTAACATGATAAAAATAGATAAGAATGCACTGTGGTAGAAGTGACAAGGAAATGATAAGGAAATTATGATGGTACTAAAGTGAAGATTTGGCCTTTTCATTCTTTTTTATTTATCTGGAGAGAGAGAGAAGGAAATATTTTAATTTAATTGAAATGCATTGGTAGTTTTCTCATATATCTAGGTGTGGTCAATTAAATGGATAATATACTCTATATCGGTAAAATCCTATTTTAATAAGCTTGAAGTGATATCCAAATTATTTTATTGTATCCAAATGTCATTAAAACAGAAACACGTTATCACAACAAGCAGAAGTGGTACTTTGGGGTTAGCTATATATTACACTTGGAACAACAAAATTGAGGGAATTTGTGTCTGACACATAGTAGGTGTTAAAAATGTTTGACAATCAGGCAAAAATGGTAATTTTTCTACTAAAAGACTAATAAGTGGCAGAGAGGATAAATACTATGTATTTCTACAATAATTATTTCATAGTACAGTATGAGTTATTTTAATCAAATTGGATATGTATTTTAAAATATGGTATTGATGTTGGAATGATGTATAAATTTTGTTTTACTTTAGAGCTTTCAGTGCTCAGTGTGGAAAATAATAGGTTTCTAACGTGATCAATCCAATTCAATTCAATCATTAAATATCTGCTATATGAAAAAAACTAAATGAGAGATAGACTGGAAGTGTCATGATTCCTTTGATGAATTATAATTTCTAAAACAGACTACAATATTGTTGTGGTAGTTCATAAATTAACTCATGATTCTCTGAATTTGCTACAAAATCTGATGTTTTCATAAATCATCAATATCTATATATAGGGAATTCTAAAAGTTTAGCTTAAAGCTTTAATAGCTTAAAAGTGCATTAAGACTTTTAGAATAACCATTGTACATATGTTGTTGTTACTGTTGTTTATTCATTTTTTCAGTCGTGCCTGACGCTTTGTGACTCCATTTGAAGTTTCCTTGGCAAAGATATTGAAATGGCTTGCCATTTCCTTCTCTAGCTCATTTTATAGATGAGAAAACTGAGGCAAACAGGGTTAAGTGACTTGCCGCAGGTCACATAGCTAGGAAATGTCTAAGGCCAGATTTGAACTCAGGAAGATGAGGCTTTCTGATTTTAGGCCCAGTACTCTATCCATTCTTCCATCTAGCTGCCCAATGTTCATGTGTAGCCCCAAATATTTATAATATAACCAAAAAAAAAAGAAATTTCTATTAAAATCATCTATTTTGTCATGTGTTATTCTGTTTACTTTGATTTAGATAGAATATTTTCAAGTCATATCAGTCATCTGTTGCCAAGGTAGTCTATCAGTTGAGACATGATGATCTTATCACTTTATAGAAATGGCTACTAACATGGTAGTTATTAAAACGAAATTCCATTGTTATACATAAACTCAGCATACATATATATATACATATATATTTGTGAGAAATGGTTTTAATACAGGCTTGTCTGATATGTTAGGAGATTGCATGTGTACCACATAACTCCCTCATAATATAAACATTATAAAGCCCATAACAGATATTCAAGCAATATAGTATAGTGGAATAAACAATGGTTCTGGAGTTTGAGAAGCTAGATTCAAACTTAATATCTTGTTTATAATGTGTTTATACATATACCTGTGTGTGTGTGTGTGTGTGTGTGTGTGTGTGTATCTATCACTTAATATCTATGTGATTTGGGGTAAACTGCCTTTCCTTCCTGCATCTGTTTTCTCATTTATGAAATAAGAGATCCAACTCTAGATCTATGATCTTATTGA